CAACGAGAATACCTAGGATAACTCCGGGGAAATCGCGTGCACTCCGGTTTTCCCCCTTTTGCTGAAAACCGAGCGGCACCGCGTTATGACAAAAGAGAAAAAAAAAATCCTCAAATGCAATGAATTTAATGCTCTTTGTTTGTTGTTTTTTTTTTTTTCTCTTTTTCCCCCTTTTTCCCCCGCCGGCGCGGCTCCCCCTTAAGCGGGGCGGGCGCCAGGCGCGGGCTCCGCGGCYGCTGCCGCCACGGTCAGATGATGCGCGCGGCTCCCAGCCTGGCAGGCGGCCGGCTCTGCTCCCGCGACTCCGATGCTGTCATCTCCGCCTTAACCCCTGATAACCTCCCCAGCCCGCCGGAGGCCACGGGGGGGTTGCCTTTTTGTGGCCTTTTTTCTTCATTTTTTTTTTCCTCACCGTCACCGAAAAGCAGGAAAGCAAAAGCATTTAAAAAATATAYATATATACACACACGCATGTACTTTTTTTTAAAGATGTAATGCTCAAAAAWAAAWGGGGGGGGRAAAAATACCTCGCTATATTCCCAAGCAATTGTTTATCCCGGAGCAAACACACAGCGGCAGCGACACAGGAAGACGTCTCCATTTCGGATTATAATAGGATGCGGTGTTTGTAAATAAAGGCATTTCCCAGGAGGTTATAAACCCCGTGCTGGGGGCGGGGGGGGCAGGGAAGCGCAGGCGGGAGCAGCCCCGCGGGATCCTGCCAGAGCTGGAGCGAGGGGTTGSATAGCGGGACCATGCGGCTCCTCCCGGGAAGAGCTCCAGGTTTAGGGAAGGTGCTTGGGCCCAGCCAGCAGGGATACCAGTGGGGATCAAAGACATAGTGAAACATTCCTGGCCCGCGTGACGAAATGCCGCCCGCCCGCTGATCCCACCAGCATCAGAGCCGGCAGAGAGGCCGAGTCCCGAGGCACCATGTTGGTGCTGGTGCCACCACAGCCACCACCAACATGGTAGGATCAAGAGGAGCTCCCAAGCTCAAGGCGGGGGAATTCTGGGGGGGAAAACACCCGGTCTGGAATTTTATTAATAGCCCCTTCCAAAGAAAAAGGAAAGATGTCTCATGTCCTCGTCTCTGGACACAGGCTCTAAGGCTCTTAGGAGACCCAACGCCCTAGGCATGGTCTGGTGGAGCCACCATAGCCAGGTCCTGCTATGGGTTCCCACCACTCAGCCACCCATCACTGGTGCTGGGTTGACCACCCTACTCCAGGGGAGTCCAGYAAGGAGAGTCCTGACCAAACACTGCTAAGAGTCTGCAATAAGGATGCGGATGGGAGACACCATGACCAGGGAGTCCTCACCCACCCATGAAGCCACCACTGGTGAAACCAGAGAAACAAGGAAAGGCTGGACATGGAAAGGCAGTCGGGGTACGAGCAGCACAGCTGGCGAGGATGGGATGACAGCGGAGGCATCACAAGACTAGCAGGGAGCAAAGCAGCAACCAACATTGCCTTCAAAGCTGGCCAAGCCACGCGGGCTCCACAGGTGGCTCTGGTCTAATTTTGACCTCTGCAACAAATCTCACTCCTACTTTCTTTATTGCATTTTATTCTTTTCTTCCCTTTTTAAACAAACCTCACTCAGTCCCAGAGCTTTAACGCGGTCACAAGATGCCCTCCTGCTTGGCCCCATATGCAATGAGAACCCCATGAGGGACCAGGTCAACCCCAGCATTTGGGGAGGAACCCACTGCTTGGTGAGGGACCCCCCTCCACCCTGAGGGATGACGTTTTCTCATGCATTTGCTTTTCTCCTTTTTCTTTTTTTTTTCCACTTTTTTTTTCTCTTCCCTTGCCAAAAGCATCAAGTGGAAGGCTGCAGGCTGCCGACCTTCCTCCCKCCCTGAACTGAGCCCCATTCATTAGGCCGGCTCTCCGCGGGGCGGGCCAGGCCAGCAAGGAAAACAGCCAGYGGAGCCCGGCGGAGGCAGGAGGAGGCTGGGACAGGTTACGGAGAGGGGGAACCGCTCAACCCTCCCGCATCCACCAGGACCCGGCCTCCAGGAGGAGACAGCAAGTCCTGCTGGTGGTTGGACCCAAATGTTCTYTTCCAAGGAGGGCTCTTCACCTGGGATGTGGATTTTTTACTGCACTCTTTACCATGTTCAGCATCTTTCCGAAGTGCCCGTGTGAGCTTTGCTGACCGCAGAGCTGTCAACCCCCACCTGGCTCCCTTCCCAAATTCCCTCTCGCGCCGATAGCGATCTGCCTTGCTAAATCCCACCCTTTGGGCTTGGAGAAGGGGCCGGGAGCTCCCTTCCCCGGCCCTGCAACAGCAGCAACRAATCCAGCTGAAGGCTACAACCAAGTGGTCATGAGGTGCCCTTCACCAGTGCCCAATGTTATCTCCTGGGCTCACAGAAGGCGTTTGGTGTCCCTGGTAGAGCTGCTGTCCATGCAACCCTCAACATGCTCCTTTGCCAACGCATCTCGTCTGCTTCCAGACCTACCCAAACTGGGGGTCGTGCCACTTTCTAAAGTTTTTGCAAGCAATTTGCAACACTGGGGCATGAAGACTGGGTTTACACAAGCTCCCCACGGGAGAGGAAGACCAAAGGAGGGTCTTCCTCCTCCCACAGAGCATCTGTGATACAAACAATGCAACTCCCCAAAACCCCATTAAAACACGCTCTTCACCTAACCAAAAAAAAAAAAAAA